CTTTTTCACTTTTACTTGAGTAAAGAGGTCAAGTTGATACTTCAACTTTTACCAGAGTGTTTCAAACTGCAGTATCTATACTTCTACTTAAGTAAAAAAATGTGTGTACTTTTGACAATACTGGGTATATATAGCCACACAAAGCTATTGTCAAATCTTTAGAAAACTTTTTATTCAAAATGTTTTATTTGTGAATGTTAGATTTTTCATTCTCATTTGTTTTTAGCCTGATCCATTTCATCAGGAAATAAGAAAATAAATGTCATTTCTTAATTCTCAAACACAGTAATCAATATGATAAGCTTTAATATTCTTCTGCACCATACAGAGAATTCCCTATCTTGGCCCTATCTATGGAGGTCTAAGGGAGGGAGTATCCATCTACATCCAAGGATCTGTTCCTGAAGATATAACCAGGTTAGTTTTAAAAGCACTTAAATATGTTCCTTTTTGCAGCAGTTCAAATGAATCATAGCCTTTTTCTGAAGCTTTGGCGTCCACCAACACCCTCAGACAACTTGGTTATCTCCAGATACACCTTGACCCCTTGTGAACTCTAAAGGTCCACATTGTGTAATCTCCATCTGGGTGGAGTCTGTTTTTTGTACACTGTTGTCTCTAAATAAACTTAGAGATCTTTTTTAACATCTGTGGCAGCTCTTTCAGGAAATAGTCGTCTTTTATTTCGAGTGTGTACTGAGGCTGGTATTAATCAACATACTCAGTGCAAAGGGTTTATTTTACAACACCCCCCCTGCTCCTTTGGTTCCTGGACCCACCTTCACTGTTTACATTGCTTCAGTTTCAGGCGCACCAAGATAATTACATATAATGCCTTACCAAAGCTTGGAACCATTGAATGCTTTCAAGTTGTTTTCACAATACATCCATAAGCCTTAATGTATTTTATTGGAGTTATATTCACTAAACCAACATAAAGTACATAATCATTAAGCTTTAATTACATCCTAAATCTGCCATGTGTTATTTTATAGAAGCTACTCTCACTGTATTTTTTTATTAATTTTATCTCAAACGCTCATTTAAAATAGATTTTTTTGGACCATTTCACTCAGGCTCAATAAGATTTAATCAGCATCAATGCTCAAGTCTTGCAACAGTCTCAGGTCTGGACTTTGAAACATTTTGATTCATAGATACATTTTAATTCATCCTTAACAAGTGAGGATTTAGTTGTTTTAGTCTTGTCTGTTTTACAGCTAAGACTAAAGAAGGAAGCTGAGAAGGAAGACAATGACTGAACTTAATTTAAGCAGGCTTTGAGTGGACTGGTAATGCTGACAGGCTTGAAGCAGGCTTGGTTATAGCTGACAGGCTTGAA